CTATGTAGCCCAGGCTGGTCTTGAACTTGTGCTTGGTCCATCCTCCTGCCTCAGCTTCTCGGATATGAGAACACAGGTATGGGGGCAGAGGGTAGCCCTGGTACCTACCCCACGTAACAGATACTAGCCATATTGGACCTAACTTTCCTGGCTAAGTCTTCTGGAAGGCAGCCTTGGAGGGTGTCGTCTCCCCATCCCTATTAGATTAAAATTGTATGGCCTTCCCACCAGTCCTAGAGACCTGGTCTGGTCCTCCACAGATCATGCATGGGTCAGGTGGGAACTACAGGCCTTTGTGTCTACCCCTTAGGGGTAGGTCAGTGGTTAGGGAACTCACCAATGTGAGCCAAGGCTAGGTACAACTCCAAGCTGGAGAGACAGAGCCCAGGTGTCCCCTGTCATGAGGACCTGCCCAGTGGAGTGGAGACAGGAGAGGCCTCTGTCAACAAGGCTACAAACCCAGCAGAGGGCTTCCAGATGAGCTGAGGCCAGAGTTGGTCTCAGCTGGCCCCTGACCTTGTTTGGAAGCATGGGGAGGGAGAATGTCCTGCCAAACCTCTGCCCTAATACCTGACCACAGCCGAGAGCTGTCCAGGGTCACTGCCTTGCAGGACACAACTTCATGACTCTTTGCACCCCCAAGCTAGCACCTATACTTTCTCAGCTTCCCAGAGGGGGTCATGGGCCCAGTTATCCTGTTCTTCACCTGTAACTGACAGGACCTCTACTGGCTATTGGGACCTCTATACCCCTAGGCCACATCACAAGGGATCTTCAGGGTCCCCAGTCCCACTTGGAGGAAGCTAGGGAACAGGCCTGTGCTATCTATCAGAACTATTACTGTCTCCCTGGTCCAAACCCAGGGTCTCATGTACCCCAGACTGGCCTTCAACTACGTAGTCAAGAATGCTTTTGAATTTTTGATACTCCTGCTTCCACCTCCTGAGTGCTGGGATTTCAGGGGTGCACCACCACAATTATGAGATGCTAGAACCTGGGGCTTGGTGCATGCTAGTTAAGTCCTCCACCAACTAAGCTACACCCATCCTCAGGCTGCTAGTCCTTTCCATCCTGCTGGACAGTGGCTGAGTTTCCTTAGGCCTCTGGACAAGTGAGGTGGACCTGCCCACTAGGTCACCTGGACTGTGGAGCCACTGGATCTGATCAACTTCCCATCAACACAAGCAAAGAAACCAGAGCTATGAAACCAGCTCTGGCTGGAAAGAGCGAATGGGAACAGGATGGCCTGTGCCCTGCCTGCTGTGACCCTGGTAAAAATGTTTTTTAAAATGACCTAGACTTGCTCTTATTTTTCCCTAATGGTCTCTTAAAGTACTAATAAAATTGTCAGCTGTATCTTAAAATGAAAATAAAAATATTTCATAGCCATTATGTTTTGGCCCAAGGCACAAATGCCTTTTAATCCAAACCTCAATAAAAATATCATACATTATATTGTGGTATGAATTTTTATTTGAAACATCTGAGGAATCCAGACAGGTGCCACCGAGTGGGTAGAGTTGGTGCTCAGCAGTGAGAAGATGAGCGCCCCGAGCAACGGGCAGAGTGACATCCTCACAGTACTCAGATGACAGTCACCCATTAATGTCAGTTGCTGCAGAACACAGGGACACAGTTGTGGGGGACAAACTGGGATGCTCACTGGAAATCCTGATGCTGACATGCAGATGGTAGGGAGACACACCTCTTCTTTGGGGGCACAAGGTCCCACTTCTGGAAATGCTGAGGACACAGGGTACCTTGGCGGATGGGGTTGGAGTAGCCTGCATCCCCCAAAGAGCCCCTCCGAGGCAACTTGGCATAGGGAGGAGAGTACCAGGAAAACCAGTCAGTGGTGCGTCCAACTGTGTTGTCTCAAAAGGAAGAGATGGACTTGGCTGGTCTGAAACTCGAGACATTGCCCACTGACACACACAGCGTGCAGCAAAGTGTATGTGCAGTAAAGTGTACAAGGGGCCAGTGCTTCCTCCCGGCTGGCCATACTAGGCAGCCCAGAGCTCACATCTGGGACACAAGGTGCCTTCTGCCCTGCCCTGGAACTTGGGACAGCCCAGGCCCTGGCCACACCTTCCCTGCAGGACACCCACTCAGCCACCAACATAATACCCTGCAAGGAGGCTCTGCCCCCCACATCTGAAAGGGTAGAATTGGAGTTCATGGTAGTAACTTCTCTACATGCACATCACCTTCCAGGGCACCCCAGGAGCAGATTCCCATCCACCAGGGGAAGACTATCCCCCATTTTGGCTTTTGTTGTTTTTTGAGACAGGGTCTCATGTAGCCCAGGCTGGCCTCAACTCACTATGTAGTGGAGGATGACCTTGAACTCCTGATCCTATTGCCTTTACCTCCTGAGTGCTGAGACAACAGCCATGTCCACTATGCCCAGTCTATTTATCTATCTATCTGGATATTTATTTTAGGGGACAGGGTCTTGCTATGTAACCCAGGTTGGTCTCAAACCTATGATCCTTCTGCCTCAGCCTCCTGAGTGCTGGGCTCATAGTCATAAGCTATCAAGCTCAGCTTCTTTGCTTAACTGTCATTTCTTTATTTTTAATGTGTTTGAGTGTTTCGCCTGCATATATGTAAGTGTACCCATGCATGTCTGGTGCCTGCAGAGGCCAGAAGAGAATATCGGATCTCCTGGAACTGGAATTAAGGACAGTTGTTAGCCATCATGTGGGTGCAGGAAACTGAACCCAGGTCCTCTGCAAAGACAGCCAGTGCTTTTAAGCACATCTCTCTAGCTCCCTCTTTGCTTAACTTTGTAAAAAAGAAAAAATTTACAAGCCCTGTTCTGAGGAGGAATCACAGACCAAGGCCTGTAGTCCTGAATTCCATGGCCATTTCTTTTTGGGGGTGATTTGGGGCCCTCACCTGAGAAAGTCTCTTCCCTGCCTCTGCCTTCCTAGGGCTTTAATTCCTGGAGGGCTCTGGGTTTGGGGTCTGGAAAGGTAGGAGGTATAGCAGGAAGGGACAGGGGCTGAGGGCCTGTAGTGGCCAGTTCCCCCCCACCCCACAGCAGCCCTCAAGACTCGGGACACCGTGAGGGAACTGCACAGTTTCACATTTTCGGGCATCTCAGTCAGTGCTTTCCAAGTGGCCATGACTCTGGTCTGACTCCCTGTGCATGGGCCTCGGTGACCCCATCCTGTGCTGCGCACTTCAGCACAAGGGCTAGCCCTGGTCCTTCAGGCTCCAACCATCCTTGCCTCCCCATGAGGAGTGGCCTCAGCAGCACACAGGACCCGGACCATGGGCCTCCTGCTCCCAGGACATGTTCCGGAGGGCCATAGTTGCATTGGCCCGGACAGAGATGTGGTCCCAGCCTCCCTGGGAGGAGAAAGCCATGTCACCTCAAGAACTCCAGGACCACCCAAGGGGCTCTTCCACCAATCCCAATGCTGAGTCCCCACTGCCCCCACAGGGTTGGCCTAATGCATGTGGCATATAGTGTTACAGAACAGTCCCAGTGTGCCTGCTTACTTACCCCAATGCCGTAGTCCCAGCCCTGCCCCTTAGGCTCCCGGGGTTGTACACCCGTGCGACGACATACTGTCCCCCGGCTCAGGCTGTGGCTCCCCTGGACTTTGTTGGCAATCACCCAGACCTGGAACAGATGTTTGTTGGAGCTACCAGTTCAGCTCCAGTGGGTCATCAGGGACAGAAGGGTAGGCCAGAGAGGGGAGCAGCCCCTACCACCAAGTACCCATCTGCCTCCATCCCCTCACCTGGTCCAGTGGCCCCACAGACACTCTGCGCACGTTATTGGACACGTGCTCCCAGCTAGAACCCTGTGGATAACTAGGTGTGATCCCTGCTCGGTACCACAGGTTTCCTGGGGAGAGAAGCAGCCAGGGTCAGAGGCAGAGTCCTCTTGGCATGCTGTGGGATCAGTCCCGTGTCCCCTCCACTCCTTCACACCCCAGGGCTGTTGATGACCCACGGCCAGGAGCCTGGGCCACGGCCAGCTATGCATCTGCGTGCTCGTTTATAATTGTCCTATTGTGTCTCTTGGGACTGGCGGCCTTAGCCTCTGAGGTAGGAGCTGAGGACAAAGAATGTATTAAACAAATAAAGAAAACCGGATCTGGGAGCAACACTCTGAACTTGAAGCCTGTTTTCCCCACCCTCACCCCCACTTCTTTTTATTTTAATCAATTTTTTTTCAGACAGGGTCTCCCTGCAGCTCTACCTGTCCTAGAGCTTGCTATATTGACCAGGCTGGCCTTGATCTTAACAGAGATCTGCCTGGGATTACAGGCATGTGCCACCATGCCTGGCTTCCTCTTTTTCAAAAAAAAAATTGAGACACGGTCTCATACAGCCCAGTTTGTTATGTAGCTAAGGCTGGCCTTGAACTCATGATCCTGCTGCCTTCATGTCCTAGTGCTGAGATTACAGATGTGCACACCACATTCAAGTTTATGTGGTACTGGCATTTGAATCCAGGGCTTTATGCATGTTGGGCAAGCAGTCTAATCTTTTTTTTCCCTTGATTTTATGAGATGGGGGGGTGTCTCACTATGTACCCCAGGCTGGCCTCAAACTTGATCCTCTTGATTTAACCTTCCAAGTCATGGGATTATAAGACATGTACCACACACACCTGGCTTTTCAAGTCTTTTCATTTGTTTGATTTGTGACAGGGTCTCATGTAGCCCAGGCTAGCCTGGAATAGCATTATGTGACTGAGGGCCTTGAACTTGTGATCTTCCTGCCTCTGTCTCCTGAGTGCTGGGACGATAGGTATGCGCCACCAGGCTAGGCTTTGAGACTCAATTCTGTGTTTTCCTTCCCCTCACAGTACCACCAACAAATCTTGAGAGGAACAGGCCAGAGCCCTGCTTGAGTTGACATGGGTCAGAGATGGCAGAAGGCCCACCTTGTGTTGCCTGTGGGGCTATGTTCTACACCAGAGAACCTTCTAGATGATGTTCCAAATATGGGCCTGGCCACGCAACATCCCCTCAGCCTTGGACTCTCAGCCTTCTGATCATACAGGGCTCAGCTGCCTGGGGCTGGTGCCATCAACTCAGGGTTAAGTTAGAGACTTGGGGAGACCTGAGCTTTGCTGCTCTACCCTGGTATAGGCCTGAGGACCAAGGCTGGACTGAGGCCCAGTGTCCTGTCTCCATGGTTACCACAATGCAGGAACTCCATGTCCCCAGGAGAAACAACACAGAAAAGCCTGGATACTTCCAAAGGATACCTTTCGAAGAGGCCAGGAAGGGAGGACACTCCTGCCTATTTGTGGGCTGCCTGTCAACCTACTGCTGTCTCTGGGGATCTCCATCCTCCCCACTGACCATGCATGCACACAAATAACTTGCCATTTTCATCCAAAGCATACACCGACGTCTGGCCAACAGACACCTGTCTCAGCTTCTGTTTGGGAGGAGACGGGATGTGATACCAGCAGTCACCTGTGATGGAAGACCCAAGCCCAGTAAGCCCAGACCTAGGCCTGTCTTCTGCTCTAATGCTCACAGTATGCTGGATCCTTGCAGCCAACCTCTGACCCAAGTTAACTAAGATGTATGGCTGGGGCCCAGTATGTGAGCCGAGGGTCACACAAAGCCACCTCAAGATCTGCCATCCACCTAATACCCCAGCTTTGCCCAGGATCCTTCAGGGTCTATGGTAGGTTCTGATATCAAGACCAATTGGACCAACTCATCCACATGACATGAAGGTGCCCAGTCTGGCATGTGGTTGGCTGCTCTCCAAACCCATTATTGTAGAGGTGGGCTGTGTGCCAGCCACCAGCCACCACTTGGCTGTCCCTCTTCCCCCAGCTGGACACTGTCTAAAACACCCAGAAAAGAACAAGCCAGCACAGCCTGGCCTCCCTGAGGCAACCAGAGTGGTGGCTATGGGTGTGTCTTCACAACTCAGGAGCCCCCTCACCAGGGGTGCTACCCCAAACTGTCCTAGTGGACATAACACAGCCTATGGGGGAGGAGCCTAGCCCCAGACCTCTGAACTGAATACCACAAGCTTGATTGGAAATAAACTTGGAAGCTCATTTGCACAGTTCCACCAGTGTGGAGCAGGTAGGGGGATGCCACTCACCAGCTGGCTGGGAGGGAGACACGGAACCTCGGTAGAATGCAGAGCCATCCTTGGCCACAGCCCACACCTGATAGCAGGCCCCAATGGAGACAGAGGTGAAGGGCTGGTCTGTGCCAACATGAAGCCAGGAGGAGCCCTGGAGATGGACAGGTAAGGAGGACTGTTGAGGGGTCACTGGGACCACCTGGCTTCCTTTCTCCTGAGGCTCAGGCCCAATGCAGGCACCATGAACCCCAGCCTGTCTGTGAGGTGGAGGGTCTGAATTAGCCCTGATTAAGGTCTAAACTTGACAGTGTTGAACCCCTGGACTTGGGCCTTTCATCCCCCAAGCAGAGATAACAGCATGTGCACTTTTCCTGGGTACCACAGAGCCACCACATCACCTGGGCCTACCTGTTCCCCCTGCTCCCATCCCTGGAGAGATGACAACTCATGCCAACTTTATCCTTGGCACCAACTCAGACTAAATTTGATGTCCTCCCACCCCAAGGACCTATCTTGAGCAGCTCGTGAAAGGCCTGAGGGTAGATGACTCCAGAGGAAGAATCCTGATTTCCAGAATATTCTAAAAAGACAGAGGCAACCACCCCAGAGGCCAGAAGGTAGGTGCTCACTGCAGGGTTGAGCTCTGATATGCCCAGCCGGCACAAGACGTCCCCCTTGTCGCTGACAGCCCAGAGTGCGATGCTGTGCTCTCGCCCCTCGGTGTCCAGGCTCTCTGGGATGATGGACACATCGCTGAGGGCAATAGGGGCCACCTCTAGCCATGGCCCGCTGGTCACCAGCTTGCATTTTCTGTACAGGAAAAGGCGAGCCTGAGCCCAGAGACCCGGAGTGATAGCAAGCCTCAGGACATGTGCCTGTCACTGCCATTTTCTGTGTGGCTCACAGAAGCCAAGATGGTCACCCTGCTGGGGCTAGGGAGACAATGGACTCCCAGGGCTCAGGGAAGGACAGGGTACCTGGTGGGAGTGAGGGATCCCCCTCTTTGTCCCCTGCCCTTCCCCCAGCTTGGCCAGCCCTCCTTCCAGCCCGTGAGCAAAGCCCAGCCAGTGACATTTCTCTTATTTGTTTTCTAAAACAAACTTCAGAAAGCAGAGCACCGGGAGCCCGTGGGCATTTCCTGGGTTGACATTTACTTTCGACTCTGGTTTCTCTCCCTCCCTTCTCCTTTCCTGGGGACTGAGGTCAGAGGCCAAAAGATCTGGCCCAAGAGGAACCAGTGTCCCCCTTCCCTGAGCAGAGGGAAAGAAAGGGAAGAGAGTGAGGGGTAGGGGGTAACCCTGCCACCCTGTGACTCTGTCTCTCACCTGGCCCAGCACCTTCTCCTGACAAAATCCTTCATGGTTTTATACCCATGGTACGAGCTGCAAGAGGAAGAGGTGGTGCAATCAAGATCACTTCATAGAAGATTCTGGAAAGTGACAACTGCACATATTTTTTTCCCAACTCTAGGTCACAGGGGCAGAAAATATGGCTATGATAGCACCCAATTCTCCCAGCCACCCCAACAGGGTCATGACTGAAATGGAGCCTCCAAAGATCCAGCAGCAAGGCCCCCTTGGGCTTGAGACTCTGTCTCAAAAAATAAAAAGGTATGCCGGGCGTGGTGGCGCACGCCTTTAATCCCAGCACTCAGGAGGCAGAGG